TAGATTTTCCTTTGCAAGACAGGAGGAGTTGAGAAGTCAAACACTGGGTGTCGATCCATCTCTTAATGTATTTGGGAAGTTGTCAAAGAACTATTCACCCAACCAGGATTTTGGTGAAAACAGAAATTCATATTTGGAAAAGCTTGGGATTGGTAATAGTTTTTCATCCAGCATTTTTGAAGAACCTGAAAATTGTACCTTCAGTCCTTCAACTTTCTCTTCTAACAGGCCTCCTAGTAAGTTTTTTCTCTAACTATCCAAGTTCTATTCTCTTTGTTTTTAGTGTTACACCGATGTTTCTTTTCTACTTTTTTAGTTTTTAATTGGGGACAATATGGTAAAATAACAACTTATTTTACTTAGGGTGTTCTTGAGTTTTGAAGGATAAAAGCTCGTGAATGATGGTTTTATAGGATGTAACCTTACCATATTTTTAATGCTGAATTTGAAATTTCTTCCTTTGCTTGAGCTCTTTTAACAAGTTTTATTAAATTGTCATGAGTTCTGTATGCTGTTATATAAACTTCCTTTATTGAAGAGGACTAAAATATTTTTTGGAATGTTGTGATTAAATTTCATAAGCTGCCATGCATCCCACGGTGGCCAGACTAAAAACTTTTGATCTTTTGCAATGCATGGATGAGGATTATTAATGCCATACCAACATGACATCAAAAATTTCTACAAGTGTATGGTTATCACCACATGCAATCCCATTACTAAAACTAGATAGTTTCATAAGTTTTTTCTGCATCGTGTAAAATCTCATCTGGTTTTGAGGCCTCTCCTGTTCCTCTATTAACCCTGACTTCATCTCTGTTCTCTATTTACTGTATTTGTTAGTTTATTTTCTTAGCATTTGTTTATACTTTGTATTGTATTTGGTGTTTGTTTAGCATCTTATTATCCTCAAGTATTTACCAATTTTCCTTTTGTATCCCGCAAATTCTTTTTTTTTTTTTTTGTGCACTGTAATCAACTGATATTTTTTCCCTTTTATTTGGGGTGTCAATTAACAGTTTCAAGATCTCAAATTTCTGCCCCACCTGGATTCTCTGTGCCAAGCAGAGCACCACCTCCAGGCTTTTCTTCTCAAGAAAGAATGGAACAGAGTTTTGACATTATATCTGGTTAGTCATTCTCATCCAGGGTATTAAATATGATTATGATTTTCAGCTGATATTTATCTTCCTTTTCCTTTTGCAGGGAATCATTTGCTTGACTCATCTTCCTTTCTGAGAAATTCATTTCAGTCACCACCAGGTGGCAATGCTGGTAGTGCTGGAGAAATTGAATTTATGGATCCTGCAATTTTGGCTGTTGGAAAAGGGAGACTTCAGGGCGGGCTTAACAATCTAGGAGTGGACATGAGATCAAATTTTCCACAACAATTGCATCATTTTGATAATGAGGCAAGACTTCAACTACTAATGCAAAGATCTCTGCCCCCACACCAGAACACAAGATATGCTGACACTGGGGATAGCTTTTCTTCTCTCACTGATTCTTTTGGCATTCCTTCAAGGCTTGTGGATCAATCACAAATCAGTGGTTTATCCCCTTATGCACAGCTGTCCTTACAGCAGTCGAGGAATGGGCATATGCCAAATGGGCATTGGGATGGCTGGAATGAGGTTCAGGGTGGCAACAGTTTGCGTATGACAGAGCTTCTCAGGAATGAGAGACTGGGATTCAATAAGTTTTACACTTCTGGTTATGAGGATTCAAAATTTCGGATGCCCAGCTCAGATGACTTGTATAACAGAACATTTGAGATGTGAGTTTTGTCGTGGCGGCCTTTTTAACCTTTTTATCAAGGGTCAACCAAGAAAAGAGAGATTTGTGTGTTTATGCTGGTTTGTACTGAAGGATGAGACCGATTCGTAATTGGCCTCATTAAGCAGCCTGATGAAAGATCACCTCCCAAAATCCAGGTCTTGAAGGCAGCAGGTAAGGTTAAATTCTTTAAATTCACTTGCTTAGGACTGCATTTATTTTCTGTTTTTTGCAAGGTGATTGAACTTGTGACTGCAAGTTATTCTCATCTTTTTTATTTTCCTAAACTTAATGCAATAATCATATGAACGTGCAAGTGATGGTAAATGCACAACATGACATTATCAGGTGACCAAAACTTTCTACTACTTTTACACACCCCTTGCATAATTGAAAAAAATAAAATAAAAATCCATGTCATATGAATGTGGTGTTGGTGGACAGGTCTTCCAATTTAAAAAATCTCTTGGGTTGAGTGGGTCCACGGAGTTCAATAGTCATCTAAATTCATGGCATCACTTTGGTGTGCCAAAATTTCTGAAACCATAACTCTGAAATTAGAAATTTCTGAAACCATAACTCTGAAATTAGACAAAATAACAACAACATTGGTATAAGTATTAACGGTCTGTCCACAATGACCATACCATTTCATAAGTGGGTTTATTTGTGTTTTGTCTCTGCAGGAGAACTGAAGCCGCAAACTTCATATCATACGAAGAAGATGTGCAGTCGGAGTGCTGTACATTGTTGAACTGTCAGGTTGATCCTCCAGGAGGTCTCTAGTGTCTCTTATTTACTGGAATTAGTCAAGTTTAGTTGCGCAACTCGTGACTAAATAGAAGAAGTTTGGATTTTTTTTTAAATTTTTTTTGAGTTTTATACTCCCTCTAGAAATCTATACATTTTCCATCAGAAAGTTTGTTGGAAACGGTTTTTTGAGGCGTTTTTCAAATAACAATGCTTAAATGAGTGGTTTTCCAATAATCTGATATACCAAGTTCCGTCTATTTTCTTCTAGGAGTAGTATCATTTGCTATGTTAAAATTGCATTTTGGACTGGGATCGGTCTCTGGAAACCTTGTTCTAACAGGAAATGTTAAAAGAAGGTGCTCATGAGGTGTTTCAGTTTGGCTTGTTCGAAACACCACCGTAACAGCAACAGAAATAACATGTAGAGGATCACAAAAAAGAACACATGAGGTTTTTAGTGGGTGAAAGTTGAAGGTTTCCCTGAGAAACCATGTGTTCAACCATTTGTTTTATTTTGATTATATTTTCAGTTTTTGATAATTTCAATTTCTTCTTGTCCTTGTTAATCTTTTGAATGATATTGAGATACCTGAAAGGTAGATTGAAACGTACATATTCTCTTCTCTATCCGTGCTGCGTCAAACATCGGAAGGAAACAACAAGTGGAGAAAGCTGATGCAAAATTTCTGCCAAATAGTCATCAAGGAAGGGATTTTTCATAGTTACTGGAATCCAACTCGTCCTTCAACTCAGCGAATTCTATTCCAAATAAAATCTAGTGTAAGAAATTGAAATGTGACTTCTTGATAGGCAAACACAAGGCTATTGTTGCCAAGTACCCATTGTTCACATGAGATTATGAACTAGTATCACAGATACCTCATAAAAATTTCGCGGCAATCACAAGAGAGAACTTGAAGAAGTTCATTTCCAAGGCTTCAACTCCAGGCGGATTGAGGGAGAAAAGGAGAGATTATGAATATAAACCTGCAAAAAAGCAGTCACATATTGTGGCTTCGACTTCATTTGACCCGGTTAAACATATCTTTCAGTTTGGATGGTAACAAACGGTGATCTACAGGTCGGAATTATCTTGCCATCTCGCTCAGCTACATGTTGTCCGATAGAAGTTCTTCTCATCCAGACCTGAACGTTTTCTGTATACTGGGGCCATCGTCCCCTTGCTAAGAAATCGGCGAAACCAATTAAGCAAAATAGCCTGTTGTTGAAGCAATGGAATGGGTGAGAATTGTCTAGCCGCGTCCATCCTCCATGCAAAGTCTTCATAAATAGCTTCCAACCAGGCAGGTAGCTAGCAAAGAAAATCTGACGTCTTTTGGCACCAAGACACGTCCTCTTCCAATTGCGCAATGCATGGCCGTGCAGTAATCTGGCTGATTTCGTGCCGGTACACTCTTAGAATTCTGGAATGGGAAAGTGCCAGCTCCTCCTCCTGATCTGCCCACAGTTTCACAAATTCACCGCCAATTATTCTATCAATTAGAATGTCAGCAATCCAGCTCATTTTCTTAGCTTCTTGAGCTATTTGGCCCATTAAAATCCCTCGATCGACCCTGCAGCCATCCATGCCAGTAACTTCAGATAAGCATGGAGCAAGAGAGCCAAGACATCCGTGGCAGAGAGAACAAAGGGATATTCTGTCAGCATTGGAAAGGATATCACATTTTTCATTTTTTTTTTTGTTTATTATGATTTCAAAGCCAATATTAGCATAGCAATGGTTATGGACCCCTGTGGGATATATCAATTTCTTTTTTTTTTAAACAAAAAAAAGAAGGAAGTTGTTGACAGCATAGTTTTTATCATCAAGAAAATCTTTAATTGTAAATAAAATAAATAAAAATATTATATGTTTCAATAAATATTAAAAGAGTTTTAATACCAACCAAAGATTAAATCGGTTATCTAGATTAAAAAGACATTAAAATATTTGATTTGTGGGTGCTCTTGAGTTTCTTTTATTTAATTATGAAAGAAACTTTTCAGAATTAATTTTTTACCTAATTATACAATTATAAATAAAATTCATGAGAAAGACCAAAAACATCTTCTATGGTTCATGTAATATTTCATGTTTTTTATTTAACTAAACACACACGTCAACTGTTTTCTTCACAATAAAAAAGAAAATTGAAACACCCTGATAATATTCAATTTTTATTATTAAAATCTAATTTCTGATCTGATCCACAAAGTAAATAAGCTAGTTATTACTAAATAAGTGCAGATTTAATTCTCTAACAGCAATTACATTTTGTTTTTTTTGTTTTTCTAGATTTCAACGACCATTTCATGATAATAAAAAAAAAAAATCCTGCTACTGTCAAACAAGGGAGAGATACCCGCATTTATGTTCGTTGATGATCAACAACTTGAAATTAACCACAAATTAAATAAGCTTTCGAGGGAAAGAAAAAGAGGAACTATTCTAGATCCGCAGAACTCTCAGTTCTGTTCCTCTGCATCTCACCATTTCTTCCATCTTCTCCATGAATGCGAAGGGCAGGGTGGTACGTAGCTAACAAATTACTGAAAGCAGAAACAAAATATTAGAAGCATCGTACTTTTTTTTTCCCAAGAGAGTAGAATGTCCACTGCCCAGCAACGCACGACACAAACTGGAGGCTTCAGAAAAACAATCGCTTGGTTCTTTATCGTTGTCGGCACGCTTTACCTCATCTACTCTTCCCATCTTATCCTAAACAACGATCGCCGATGTCTTACTACCGAAGAAAATATAGAACATCTTACAAACTTGTCCACCTCAATCCAGCTAAATGAACAAGTCAGTAATTTTGAATCTCCTCCTCCTATACTTTCTAAGAAATCACAGGAGTACAACACTGAGCTTAAGCACATTGTTTTCGGGATAGCAGCTTCGGCGGATTTGTGGCAGAAAAGAAAGGAGTACGTAAAGGTGTGGTGGAGGCCGAAGCAGACTAGAGGGATAGTCTGGATGGATAGACAAGTAAGGAGCCCAAGTAATGAAGGGCTGCCTCAGATTAGGATTTCGGCGGACACGTCCAGGTTCAAGTACTCGAATAAGAAAGGACATAGATCGGCTTTGAGGATTTCGAGAGTGGTCTCGGAGACGTTGAGGCTTGGATTGAAGGATGTAAGGTGGTTTGTGATGGGCGATGATGATACAGTGTTTATTGTTGATAATGTGGTAAGGATACTTTCGAAATATGATCATAGGCAGCTTTATTACGTTGGGAGCTCGTCAGAGAGTCACCTTCAGAATATATATTTCTCTTATTCCATGGCATACGGAGGAGGTGGTTTTGCTATTAGCCAGCCATTGGCACAAGAGCTGGCAAAGATGCAAGACAGGTGCATTCGGCGGTATCCAGGATTATATGGCAGTGATGACAGAATCCAAGCTTGCATGGCTGAGATTGGGGTACCGCTCTCCAAGGAATCTGGGTTTCATCAGGTTTAATTTAAAGGCTTTATTCTAACTCTATAGTTTTATAAACAATTTTCTCAGCAGGA